GACGATGGCCTTCGTCATCATCGGTTGACGACCTTTGTCGTGGTGGTCGACGACCTTCGTCGTCGCGGGTCGACGACCTTCGTCGTCGCGGGTCGACGACCTTCGCCGTTGCGGGTTGTCGACCTTCGTAGACCACTTCCTCGACCACCTCGGTCTAAATTCGGCTCCTCATTAGTCGAAATTAGGGCACATTCGAATTTCTAACCGAAATTCTCTTGTGCATTCGCGAGGGTGAGAAGGGTCAGTCGCCACCCTGCGCAGATGAACTCCTGCGAAGCTCTGCACCAGCTGTGCCACTTGCACATGTGCACGAGAGGTTTGCATTGCACTCGCGGGTGCTTCAGTTACTCTCGCATGGGTTCCCTAGTGCACTTCGTGTACAGGCAACCCTTCACCTTGTGTACGAGGTCCTTGTCCCAACCTGTGCAGAAGCTCCAGATCTCGCATACTGCAGAGGGTCGGCTGCACCTCCCACACACCCGACCACACAGCCAGTTTTTCCCAAGCGAGGGTGGGGCCAACTCCTGTCAACACCAGCCTCCTCTCACCCTATCACTGACTACTACCATACTGCTCGTCCTGTTGTCTCCCGTATTCTTGTCGCGGACACCATTGCCCCTCTATCGTCTGTCTCGTCTCTTATTGCCGCCGTCACTGACTTTGCTGCCACGCGCCGCCTTGACTATGCCACCCGCGTGGTGGCTTCCCGTCCTCTATCTGTTGGGTCTAAGTCTGCCCTAGGGAGTGACGTCGTATAGGACAGGAAAAATTGAGCTGGAGTTCCTGGCAGCTGCTTCTCTCCATCTCTGTGCCATGCTGCTAGTCCTTGATGGAGACCCCGATGCCCTTAATATATCGACTCCTCGCACTTACGATGAGGCAGTGTCGGGGCCGTGGGCCTCTTAGAGGATAGCGGCCATGAACTCAAAGATGGCATGTTGGAGATCCACAGTCACGTAGGTCGACGCAATTCCCCCTCCTAGGACGAACATAGTCGATGGCATGTGGATCTTCAAGGTGAAGCGGCCGCCTGAATTGGCGCATGTCTTCAAGGCGCGATACGTGGCTAGAGGCTTCAGACAGCGTGAGGGAGTAGACTTCTTCTAGACCTTCTCCCTTTCCCCAAAGATGACTACTCTTTGGGTGTTACTATACATTGCAACACAGCGAGACGACGATCTGCACTCAGTAGACTTCTCTGGTGCTTTTCTCCGGGGTAGCCTACAAAAGGAGACCTGGCTACATTGTCCCCCTGGCTTTACTGGTACTTTCCCACCTTGGACCCAGTGGAACCTAAGACTATCAGTCTACGGACTGCGCCATGCACCTTGTGTGTGGCACGACACCCTGCACACCACTCTTGCTGACCTTGGTTTCAGTTCTTTGTCGGTCGACCCTTCACTGTTCGTGCGCTATGGCCCCACTCCCTTGTTCATTGTTGTCTATGTTGACGACCTGGTCTTCACTATAGCAAACAGAGCTACTCTGGCTTTTGTGAGGTCCAATTTGCAGAAGAGATACACACGTACTAACCTTGGTAAAAAATGCCACGACCTTGGCTTGCAGATCACCAGGGACAGAGCTGGTCGCACCATCACACTGATTCAGTTTCACATGGTACAGCAGGTCCTTTGGCGGTTGACCACCGACTCACCGCTCCTCTTCCAGTCGAGCCGTTTGAGTGTTGTGATCCCTACGCAGAGCTTGTAGGTTGGCTCATGTACCTGATGACATGTACGCGTCTGGACCTCACATATCCTCTCAGTGTCCTGCCTTGCTTTGTTACAACCAGGAGACACCGTCCTGCTCACTAGGCGGCTGCTGTGAGCCAGCGTGCATGGGGATTGTGTTTAGAGGGAGAGAGCCAGTAGTACTGACCGGGCACTGCGACTCGTCCTACGCCGATGACTTGGAGGCCTACAAGTCTAGTCGGGGCACGGCTTCAACCTGGGCTCTGAAGCTGTGCCGTGGAGGTCTAACCGGTCATCATCTGTGGCTTCGTCCAGTGCTGAGGCCAAGATCTACGCCAGTGCCATGGCTGCTCAGGAGCTTCGATGGTTGACCTACTTGCTCATATATCTATGTGAGAGGCCTAGCTCTGCACCGACCTTGTTCGCTGATAACAAGGCCATGATCATCCTATGTCAAGAGCCTCGACTTGAGGGGAGAGTGAAGCAATCGACTAGCGGTACTTCCTGTTGTGAGAGCTACAGCGACGCGGCCAGGCACTATTTGACCTTTGTGGCCTCACTGGCCAACACTGCAGACATCTTCACTAAGGCCCGCTTGGTTACCACCACAGGTTCTGTACACAACTTGGCCTTGTTTGGACAAGCCATCTTTTGTTGTAGGCTTATCTTTTGCGTCTTTCTCTGCTTGTTTTGCTATTTATATATACCAGTGAACTCTTGAACTGGCCTTGTGGCCGTTTGTCTTGAGGCTGGCGAGTCATGCCTCCCTGGGTTGCATCTCTTACTTCGATGCTTATCCTGACAGGTCTTGTCACCATGTGTTTCGTTTTCCTCGTTTTGATATCCTTGACTTAGCCTATGGGGGCGTGCGTCAAATTATGTTCAAATCTTTGTTAGATATGTTCGTAGTAAGGTTTAGTATAGAATACAACTCTTTTCTCAACATTCACACTTGTATCCTATTTTTCCTGGTCATTCTATTTTATTTGACTAATTCTTAGATGGTATCAGATTGAAGGTCTGGGGTTCAAATCCTTTGTGTGCACATGCTGGCGCTGCCACTGTGCCGTGTCCTAGGGCATTATTATGAAGGGGGGTGTTAGAAGACCAGCATTGGGGATGCCCGATTGATCCTAGGGAAGGGTTACATGCTCGCTCGCCTTGGAGGTTATGGGCGCATGGATCCGCTAAATAATCAACCCTATTATCCCAGTTGCCTAGTGGTTGGGATTCTGACAAATATTCCCGTTTTTTTCATAAAGATGTATCTTCTTACATGCCTTGTCATGACAAATTCGTTGGTTAAGTTGAAGTAGATGATAGGCAAGAAATTGATAGACCTTTATAGCATCAAAGTTAGCTTGGTAGCCATGGCATCTTAAGGGTGATTTGGAGAATAGGAAGATTTATTTGCCGCCATATTTTTTTTGCAAACTCATTTCATTTGCATTGCTATTATAGTGGACTCTCGTCCAGAAAACTGTGCTTTCAGGTGTAGATTGCTCTCCCTTCGCGGGAAACCTCGATGTCGAGTGATCAAATTTTCAGGTCACGCACATCCCAAAAACTCAGAACGTGGCAATTGGCGCCACTAGCAGCAGAAGCAAGCACTAATCACCCGACCATCATCGCTCTTCCCCAACTAAGTCAATAGTGAATGAGAGGCTGATTCGAGACCTACACGGCCGAAAACGTCATCCGCGATCTCGAACGCCCGTGGAGACAGCCTTCACACTGCGCATCACCTCCTTAGCAGTCAGCAAACGGCCTCCCTGCACAGTGCTCTGCGTGGGTGGACTCTCCTCGTCGCTCGGTCACGACTACCGGAAAGCCGCCATGTTGAGTTTCGACAACCACGTGCTGCACCATGCATGGATGGGGTCGTTGACTGTACGGGGCACCCGTCGTCGACTGCATGTGTGTTACAGGGCGAAGGCGAACTCGCCACAGGAAAGTCCGCTCACTAGCGAACTTGTAACTTTCGCCAAAAACCCAACCTGAAATGTGAAATTCAAGGTTGGAACTCCCAACCTGAAATGTGCGCTTCGAGATTTCTCAAAGCACACGTGAAACTCCAACCAGCAAAGCAGCAGAGAGAAGAAACCAGAGAAGCACTACGACAACAAGGCAAGAAGACAACGCATGCAACGGCAACTACTTTCCAGCATTACAAGTCCCAAGCATTATCATCATGAAGACGAAGACCAAGTCAGCTAGTACCTTTCTAGATCTATCTCATGATTGTATTTTGTATGTTTCTATATAAACAGCTAGGATAGAGCATAGGCTTGTCATCATTGCTTGTACATATTCCGTTCCTTGCTGGTGACAGCAGAGAGAGGATCAATGGCGGCCTGAACGACCTTCTCAAGGCGCCGTAGTCATAGAAGTGTGTATAAGAGTAGCTGTTCATCCCTTGTATGCCATTCTTGCTTTCTGAAATTTACAGAATTTATGCTACTGAGTTTACCTTGTCATTTTAGACTCTCCAAGCTTTAGCCTTCAGAAACTAACAGCCTAGAGCTGTTCCAATGTGCGTTCGTACCTTCACTGCCACGGCCGTTTGCCAACCCTCTCTGCGCGCCTTTGTGAAGCGATTGTAGGCAATAATGAGCGATGCGTGATTATGGGCAAGTATGCGCGATCGTATCCAAATTTGCGCGTTTATGGGTAATTATGGGCAAATTTGCACATTTGGCTCATCACGGGCGGAAATGAGTTATTGCGGGCGATAACGAGCGCAATCCGAAGGACGCAGATATACGTGGCTTATTGTGGCAATGAGGAGGCAGAAGAGGTGATTGAAAATATAGAGCAAAAGAAGCGAAGCGTGAGTAGCAGAGAGAATCGAGGATATGGAGGGGAATTGAAAAGGAGAGAGGGCCGAGCGGCAGGGAGAGATGGGGGGATTTGGAGACCGTTTGACTAGAAGAGAGGGGAGGATATACGGGGAGATAAGGGAGGATTGACGAGGAGGGAAAGGAGTGGAGGAAAAAGGGGTAATTGAGTGGGAAAGAGGGGAGGAAAGAGAGGGAATTTGAGTGGGAGAGAGGGGAGGAAAGGGAGGGCAGTTGAGTGGGAGAGCGGGGACGAAAGAGAGGGTAGTTGAGTGGGAGAGAGGGGAGGAAAGAGAGGGCAGTTGAGTGGCAAAGAGGGGAGGAAAGGGAGGGAATTTGAGTGGGATAGAGGGGAGGAAAGGGAGGGCAGTTGAGTGGGAGAGAGGGGAGGAATGGGAGGGCAGTTGAGTGGGAGAGATTGGAGGAAAGAGAGGGTAGTTGGGTGGAAGAGAGGTGAGAAAAGGGACGGCAGTTAAGTGGGAGAGAGGGGAGGAAATGGAGGGCAGTTGGGTGGAAGAGAGGGGAGGAAGGGGAGGGCAGTTGAGTGGGAGGGAGGGGACGAAAAGGAGGGCAGTTGAGTGGGAGAGAGGGGAGGAATGGGAGGGCAGTTGAGTGGGAGAGAGGGGAGGAAAGGGAGGGCAGTTGAGTGGGAGAGAGGGGAGGAAAGGGAGGGCAATTGAGTGGGAGAGAGGGAAGGAAATGGAGGGAAGTTGAGTGGGAGAGAGGGGAGGAAAGAAAGGCAAGTTGAGTGGGAGAGAGGGGAGGAAAGAAAGGGCAGTTGAGTAGGAGAGAGGGGAAGAAAGAGAGGGAAATTGAGTGGCATAGAGGGGAAGAAAGGGAGAGCAGTTGAGTGGGAGAGAGGGGAGGACACGGAGGGCAGTTGAGTGGGAGAGAGGGAAGGAAAGGGAGGGCCTTTGAGTGGGAGAGAGGGGAGGAAAGGGATGGCAGTAGAGTGGGAGAGAGGGGAGGAAAGGGAGGGAAATTGAGTGGGAGTGAGGGGAGGAAAAGGAGGGCAATTGAGTGGGAGAGAGGGGAGGAAAGGGAGGGCAATTGAGAGGGAGAGAGGGGAGGAAATGGAGGGAAGTTGAGTGGGAGAGAGGGGAGGAAAGAAAGGGAAGTTGAGTGGGAGAGAGGGGAGGAAAGGGAGGGCAGTTGAGTGGGAGAGATTGGAGGAAAGGGAGGGTAGTTGAGTGGGAGAGAGGGGAGGAAATGGAGGGCAGTTGGGTGGAAGAGAGGTGAGAAAAGGGACGGCAGTTAAGTGGGAGAGAGGGGAGGAAATGGAGGGCAGTTGGGTGGAAGAGAGGGGAGGAAGGGGAGGGAAGTTGAGTGGGAGGGAGGGACGAAAAGGAGGGCAGTTGAGTGGGAGATAGGGGAGGAATGGAAGGGCAGTTGAGTGGGAGAGAGGGGAGGAAAGGGAGGGCAGTTGAGTGGGAGATAGGGGAGGAAATTTAGGGCAATTGAGTGGGAGAGAGGGAAGGAAATGGAGGGAATTTGAGTGGGAGAGAGGGGAGGAAAGAAAAGCAAGTTGATTGGGAGAGAGGGGAGGAAAGAAAGGGCAGTTGAGTGGGAGAGAGGGGAAGAAAAAGAGGGAAATTGATTGGCATAGAGGGGAAGAAAGGGAGAGCAGTTGAGTGGGAGAGAGGGGAGGAAAAGGAGGGTATTTGAGTGGGAGAGAGGGGAGGAAAAGGAGGGCATTTGAGTGGGAGAGAGGGGAGGAAAGGGATGGCAGTAGAGTGGGAGAGAGGGGAGGAAAGGGAGGGCAATTGAGTGGGAGAGAGGGGAGGAAAAGGAGGGCAATTGAGTGGGAGAGAGGGGAGGAAAGGGAGGGCAATTGAGAGGGAGAGAGGGGACGAAATGGAGGGAAGTTGAGTGGGAGAGAGGGGAGGAAAGAAAGGGCATTTGAGTGGGAGAGAGGGGAGAAAAGAGAGGGCAGTTGAGTGGCATAGAGGGGAAGAAAGGGAGGGAAGTTGAGTGGGAGAGAGGGGAGGAAAGGGAGGGCAGTTGAGTGGGAGAGAGGGGAGGAAAGGGAGGGCAGTTGAGTGGGATAGAGGGGAGGAAAGGGAGGGCAGTTGAGTGGGAGAGAGGGGAGGAAAGGGAGGGCATTTGAGTGGGACAGAGGGGAGGAAAGGGAGGGCAGTTGAGTGGGAGAGAGGGGAGGAAAGGGAGGGCAATTGAGTTGGAGAGAGGGGAGGAAAGGGAGGGCAGTTGAGTGGGAGAGAGGGGAGGAAAGAGAGGGCAGTTGAGTGGGAGAGAGGGGAGGAAAGAGAGGGCAGTTGAGAGGGAGAGAGGTGAGGAAATGGAGGGCGGTTGAGTAGAAGAGAGGGGAGGAAAGGAGCCCATCAAAATGTCTCGGTTATGGTGGCTGGCACGGGGGTTGCTCGGGATTTCGGTTGAAAAAACTGTATCCCGCGCTGACTTTGCAATCAAAAGGTTTTGCCAGAAAGTCACGCCACTTTGCGTGATGATTTTGACAAAGGTACAAACTAGTAAATTTCGTGTCCTGATTGGGAAAAGGGTTTTCCCACATGAGCCTTCATAAATACTTGTGGGAATTCATGAGTGCTCACGAGGGGAGACAGCAGGGGCATTTGGATGAAGTCTAATTTGAAGCAGATCAAGGCAAATGTGGCCTAAGTTTCACAACCATTTTTCCAAGACAACATGGCAAACTCCTATATTACAGTTTAACAACTGCTTAGTGTTTGCCTTTGCTCATGCATTAGTATTTCTATTAATGTGTGCTTGTGTTTGATTGTCATCAATTCTTAAACAACCTTTTGTGCAACTTTACGGGTAAATATTGCTCTATCAACGTATTGACGTGGAGAGATATGCCTGCACACGATCCAATCAATCGTCTAACACTACACAAAAGATTTTGGAAATGCTCTAAATGAGCATGTATGTTCTCATGCTTTGGGAATTCCTCTACATACACGGACCCTTGGATAGGGGTTGTTCTACCAAGAACTCGAGACCTTTGGAGGTGACCCTGTGGGTGTCAGAGGTCCACTGGTGATCCCCGATTGATCCTAGGGAAGGGTTACAGGCTCGTTGTCCTGGGGGGTTATGGGCGCACTGACCCGCTTCTTAACAAGCCCTTTTATCCCAGTGGTCTAGTGACTGGGATTCTAACATGGTATCAGAGTGAAGGTCTCGGGTTCGAATCCCAGTGTGTGCACTTCGGGGATCCCAGTGCGGGAGGGTGTCAGACGTCCACGGGTGATCCCCGATTGATCCTAGGGAAGGGTTACAGGCTCGTTGTCCTGGGGGGTTATGGGCGCACTGACCCGCTACTTAACAAGCCCTTTTATCCCAGTGGTCTAGTTGTCAGAAGATATAGCTTATACATTTGTTTAGGCTGTAGTGGGGTAGCCCATAAGGGGTACAACCCAATTAGGGTTAGTACTTGTACCCAACTGTTTCATAGTTCATTCATTCTCGTTCGTTACTTTGATATGGTATCAGAGCAGGTCCCTTGGGCCCACCACCTGCTACGCTGCTAGTAACCCCCCTAGGCCCGTCGATCCTAGCCTACGCGCCCGGCCCGTCTGTGAGAGAATTGACGAGAGAAATAAGTGAGAAAGGATGATTGCACTAGAAAGCATTGGGATACAAATAGAAAACCCTAACAGGGTTGTACTCACTACAGAGTACCCCACTGCAGACTAGAGAAACATAATATTCTGACACACCCCCATAGTCAAAGTGGGGTATGATCAGCACAAGAAGCAAAGCAAAATAAGCTCAGGGTGGATCACAATGTCACCACACATTCTGAGCACAAGCAACAGTTTAAAGTTCACAATTATAAGCCAAGCTAGAGGCTATCACAGAGGGCAAGTGAGGAGGAGGCGGGACTGTAAGAGGAGAGGAGATAGGAGGCGACGGCTGAAGCTGCAGACACACGGGCAACAGGAGTCACACTGGCACAGTGGCTACCGGAACAGTGCCCTGGACTACAGGAGTAACTGGCTCGGCGGCTAACTCTGAGCGGCAGGAGCAACGGACCCACGGGCGACTGGCGCAGCTGGCTACGACTGGGCTACCGGAGCAGCGCCCCGGACTACTGGTGCTGCTGACGACACGACGACCGCCTCCATTCAACCTCCCCCAACTGTCCCACCCCCCTTTCACACACCCCCTGCTGCACCCCTAGGTTCACTCACACTCCACCCCCTAGCACCACTCCGTTGACTCACACACACCCACCCCCCTCAGCGGCAGCTGCAGCAGTGGGAGACGGAGTAGGAGGAGGAGCAGGGGATGCCACACACCCGCCACCCCCATACCCTCCCCCACTGCTGCACCTGCAGCAGGGGATGGAGGAGAAGGAGGGGGGGGGGGGGGGGGGGGGGGTGCTGTGCATGGCGCTTGCAGAGGGCAGCAGGGCGCACGGGGCGCACAGGGCAGCACGGGGCGCACAGGGCAGCAGGGCGCGCGGGGCGCAGCAGGGCCGGCGGGTTGGCCACACCCGCCACCCCCATACCCTCCCCCACTGCTGCACCCGCAGCAGAGAGATGGGGGGGGGGAGGGGGGGGGGGGGGGGGGGGGGGGCGGGGGGGGGGGCAGGCAGGTGCTGCAGGTCCCCTCCCCCCACTGCCGCATCCGCACCAGGGGGATGGCAGATCCCCTCCCCCCCACTGCTGCACCCGCAGCAGGGGGAGGGAGAGGAGAAAAGGGCGGAGAGGAGGGGGGGGGAGGGGGGGCTGGTGCTGCAGGTCCCCTCACCCCACTGCCGCAACCGCCATCCCCATGGAAGGGGGGGGGGGGGGGGGAGGGCTGGTGCCGCAGATCCCCTCCCCCCCCACTGCTGCACCCGCAGCAGGGGGAGGGAGGAGAAGGGTGGGGGACCTTGTGCTGCAGTTCCCCTCCTGCCTCCCCCTGGACCTCCAAGCTTGCCCCCCTTCTCCCCGCCATCCCCATGGAAGGGGGGGGGGGGGGGGGGGGGCTGGTGCCGCAGATCCCCTCCCCCTGCACTGCGGCTGCACCAGGGGCGGCTGCTCCAGGGGCGGCTGCACCAGGGGCGGCTGCTCCAGGGGCGGCTGCACCAGGGGCGGCTGCACCAGGGGCGGCTGCTCCAGGGGCTGCTGCACCAGGGGCGGCTGCTCCAGGGGCGGCTGCACCAGGGGCGGCTGCACCAGGGGCGGCTGCTCCAGGGGCGGCTGCACCAGGGGCGGCTGCTCCGACGCGTGGGCCCCCCTCCAGGTCGCCCCTCCCGTCGCCTGTGGAGGCGACCTGAGGGAGGGGGGGGGGGGGGTAGGAGTACGGGGGCTGACGCGCGGCCTCCCAGGGCGCCAGAGCAGGCGGAAGAAGGGGCGACGCGCGCCCCCCCAGGTCGCCCCTCTCGTCGCCTTGCGTGGCGAGCGGGGGGGGGCGGTGCACAGGCCCCTGGTGCGCCACGACTGGCATGAGGGCGGGGCCTGGGTCAGGGCAGGTCCGGGACAGGGCCAGGACGGGGCCGAGGAAGGGCCGGGGCGGGCCGCGAAGGGGCCTAACGAGCCGCGAAGGGGCCGCGACAAGCCGCGACGGGGCCTAACGGGCCGAGAAAGGGGCCGGGGAAGGGCCTGGGCGGGCCGCGAAGGGGCCTAACGGGCCGCGAAGGTGGGGGGGGGGGCCGCGACGGACCAAACGGGCCGCGACAGGGTCGGGGCAGGGCCGTGAAAGGCTCGGGACAGGGGCGGCGCCGGGCGACGGGGCCTGTACGGGGGGGGGGGGGCGCGACAGGGGCCTGTGACAGGGGGCCGCGACGGTGGGCCGCGACGAGGGGCCGCGACAGCGTTGGGGCAAGGCCGGGGTCGGGGCGGAGCAGGGCCGTAGAAGGGGCCGAGACAGGGCTGCGACAGGGCCGCAGCAGGGCCGCGACAGGTCAGGGTAAGGCCGGGGCAGGGCCGGAACAGGGCCGCAACAGGGTGGGTGGGGGCCTGACGGGGCCTGACGGGGCCTCTAACAGGGCCTTACGGGGCCGTAAACGGGGCCGACGGGGCCTTACGGGGCCTTACGGGGCCTTAAGCGGGGCCGTAAACGGGGCCGACGGGGCCGTAAGCGGGGCCGTAAACGGGGCCTTACGGGGCCTAACGGGGCCTTAAGGGGCCTTACGGGGCCATAAACGGGGCCGACGGGGCCTTACAAGGCCTTACGGGGCCTTAAGCAGGGCCGTAAACGAGGCCTTACGGGACCTAACAGGGCCGTACAGGGCCTTACGGGGCCGTAAACGGGGCCGACGGGGCCTGACGGGGACGGAGGGGCCTTAAGGGGCCGTACGGGGCCGTAAGTGGGGCCATAAACGGGGCCGTAAACGGGGCCTGACGGGGCCTTACGGGGCCTTAAGGGTAGGCGCGACGCGCGCGGCAGGAAGGTGAGGAAAAAAAAGTTGAAGACGTGGTGGGCCCTTAGGATCGAAAGTTGCTCTATACCATGTGAGAGAATTGACGAGAGAAATAAGTGAGAAAGGATGATTGCACTAGAAAGCATTGGGATACAAATAGAAAACCCTAACAGGGTTGTACTCACTACAGAGTACCCCACTGCAGACTAGAGAAACATAATATTCTGACACCGTCGACCCTATCCTAGCCTACACAGCCCGTCGACCCCTAGCCCGCGGCCCGTCGACACCAGCGCCCGGCCCCGTCCCTAGCCCGCGCCCGGCCCCGTCCCTAGCCCGCGCCCGGCCCCGTCCCTAGCCCGCGCCCGGCCCCGTTGGCCCTTAGCCCCGCGCCCGGCCTCCTACCTAGCCCGCGCCCGGCTCCGTCCCTAGTCCGCGCCCGGCCCCGTACCTAGCCCGCGCCCGGCCCCGTACCTAGCCCCGCGCCCGGCCTCGTTGGTCCTTAGCCCCCCGCTCGGCCCAGTACCTAACCCGCGCTCGGCCCCGTACCTAGCCCTGCGCCCGGCCCCATTCCGCGCCAAGCGCCCGGCCCCGTACCTGCCCAGCGCCCGGCCTCGTCCCTAGCCCAGCGCCCGGCCCCGTACCTAGCCCGCGCTTGGCCCAGTACCTAGCCCGCGCCCGGCCCCGTACCTCGCCCCGCGCCCGGCCCCGTTCCGCGCCCAGCGCCCGGCCCCATACCTGCCCAACGCCCGGCCTCGTCCCTAGCCCAGCGCCCGGCCCCGTACCTAGCCCGCGCCCGGCCCAGTACCTAGCCCGCGCCCGGCCTCGTACCTCGCCCCGCGCCCGGCCCCGTACCTGCCCAGCGCCCGGCCCCGTCCCTAGCCCAGCGCCCGGCCCCGTACCTAGCCCGCGCTTGGCCCCGGAGCTAGCCCGCGCCCGGCCCAGTCCCTCGCTCGCGCCCAGCGCAGTACCTAGCCCGCGCCTGGCCCCGTACCTAGCCCCGCGCCCGGCCCCGTTCCGCACCCAGCGCCCAGCCCCGTACCTGCCCAGCGCCCGGCCCCGTCCCTAGCCCAGCGCCGGCCCTGTACCTAGCCCGCACACGGCCCCGTGCCTAGCCCGCGCCCGGCCCAGTTCCTACCTCGCGCCCGGCCCCGTACCTAGCCCCGCGCCCGGCTCCGTCCCTAGCCCAGCGCCAGGCCCCGTACCTAGCTCTCGCCCGGCCCCGTCCCTAGCCCGCGCCCGGCCCCGTCGGCCCCTTGCCCTACTGTCACTGTTGCTACTGCTACTGCTGCTACTGCTGCTGCTACTGCTGCTACTGCTATCCTGCGTGCTGCACAGCTATGGCTTCCCTTCGGGTTCTCGCGTTTGATCATGAGGGCAGACCGGTTCAGTTTGATACGTGGCTAGACGACCTGCAGCTGTACCTACTGAGCGATTCTAAGGACAGTGTCTCGCTGTTTGACCTAGCGTCAGGCGCTGCTACTGCCCCTCCCGTCACAGCTGACAGTTCGACTCGCTCACAGTGGCTTACTCGTGACGGTGCTGCCCGCTTAGCCATTCGCAACCACCTGCCATTAGCTGAATGCGCTCACTTCGGACAGCACAAGACAGCGCAGGCACTGTACGACGCTGTAGTCGCTCGCTACTCCTCCCCTGCTACTGCTACTCTAGGCCGCCTTCTTCTACCCTACCTGTTCCCCGACCTGTCCGCCTTTACCACAGTCAAGGACCTTGTTTCCCACCTTCGCGCTAGTGACGCTCGCTGCCGCGCTGCCGTTCCTGCTGAGTTCCTTGACAGGAACCTGTCAGATTTATATGACATAGCTACTGTAGGCTATAGTGGGGTAGCACATATGGGGTACAGTTTTCTAGGGTTTGCTTCTTGTACCCAACTTTCACTTAGTCATTTCATTCCTCGTTTCTTCTCATGGTATCGAGCAGGTTCCCTAATGGGAACGATTCCTAGGGCCCACCACCACAAAATTTTTTTTTTCCTGCCCGGAGCGCGTTTTGCGCCGGCCCGAGTCGCGCCGCCCTTTCGGCCCGTCGCGCCCGTCGCGCCCGTCGCGCCCATCGCCACCTACCTCCGCGGCCCCGCCACCTACCTCCGCGGCCCCGCCACCTACCTGTGCGGCCCCGCCACCTACCTGTGTGGCCCCGCCACCTACCTTCGCGGCCCCGCCACCTCACTGTGCGGCCCCGCCACCTACCTCCGCGGCCCCGCCACCTACCTGTGCGGCCCCGCCACCTACCTTCGCGGCCCCGCCACCTCACTGTGCGGCCCCGCCACCTACCTCCGCGGCCCCGCCACCTACCTGTGCGGCCCCGCCACCTACCTTCACGGCCCCGCCACCTCACTGTGCGGCCCCGCCACCTACCTCCGCGGCCCCGCCACCTACCTGTGCGGCCCCGCCACCTACCTTCGCGGCCCCGCCACCTACCTTCGCGGCCCCGCCACCTACCTCCGCGGCCCCGCCACTTACCTTTGCGGCCCCGCCGCCTCCTCCCAGCGGCCCCGGACGCCGCCCTCTCAGCGGCCCCGCCGAGCCGCCCAGCAGCCAAGCCGCCCAGCAGCCGAGCCGCCCAGCAGCCGAGCCGCCCAGCTGCCGAGCCGCCGAGCCGCCCAGCCGCCGAGCCGCCCTGTTCGCAGCCGAGCCGCCCAGCAGCCGAGCCGCCCCGCCGCCGAGCCGCCCAGCCGCCGAGCCGCCGAGCCGCCGAGCCGCCCTGCAGCCGAGCCGCCCGAACCGCCCTGTCCGGTAAGAGCAGCGCCTCTCTCACAGCACTGCCCTCGCCCTACTGTTTGCACTGCTAGTCTACTGCTGTCATGGCTACCCCTAGTGTCCTCGCTTTTGACGCTGAGGGTCGGGCCATTGCCTTTGACGTCTGGATAGATGACCTGCAGCTTTTCTTACAGTGCGACAGAGCAGACGGCCTCTCCCTCTTTGACCTCACTTCTGGTGCCTCTCCTGCCCCCGCTGCTGATGCTGACGCCACCGTTCGCTCACAGTGGGCCACGCGCGATGCTGCTGCACGTCTTGCTGTGCGTCGCCACCTCCCTACCTCTGAGCGTGCGCACTTTAGCCAGTACAAGAGTGCTCAGACCTTGTACGACGCTGTAGTTGCACGCTACTCCTCCCCTGCCACTGCTGCACTGAGCCGCCTCATGCTACCGTACCTCTTCCCTGACCTTGCTGCCTTTCCCACAGTCGCTGACCTCATTACGCACCTCCGCTCTAGTGACACTCGCTACCGCGCTGCGCTTCCTGCTGAGTTCTGCGCCAAGAACCCCCCCCCCATGTACATCACCCTCTACTACATAGTCACCCGTCTCCCTGACTCCCTTCGCGTAGTCAGGGACCACTTCCTCTCGGTTTGTCCCACCACTCTCACCGTTGACCTCCTCGAGAAGGCCCTCCTAGCAGCAGAAAAGAGCATAGTCGCTGTAGGAGCCTCTCGTGGTGACCCTCGCACCCCCATCTTTGAGGGGTGTTCCCCCTCCCCTCTTTTGCCCTCTGTTGCCTCTGCTGCTGCGGCCGACCTCGCTGGTTTGGAGTCGGTTGGGGCAGCGTCTACCCCTAGCGGGAGACGCCGCCCTGGC